AGCTCACATATGGAGCGAAAGTAAAAGCAGACCTTTAGTGTAAATCGTTGAATAGTGTTCGCATGACACTTTGGGCAGTCCTTTGGCCTCAACTCAAACGCCCAATCACACAGCAGGACGATGTCATAACAATTTATTCTCAAATTTAATTTCTAATCCTCAACAAATGTTTCCTACAGTCTGTAATTTTGACTTTAGCAGTTTTTTTTATATATCCACAGCCGTTCATGAAGCTTATCATCATCATCCATGGATCATTGCACCTGGCAAATGAAAAAGATATCAAGTATCTCCACAATGTTAGACAGAGGAAAGAGTACAGTAAAAAAAAAAGCTTTCAATTGTGTTCTGCAAACATTAAAAAGGGCGAAGCACTCTCTTTAGACCTGTCTGCTTGAGCCAAGTCCATGTTTAATGATATGTTTTTAATCCCCCTTCTCATCTTTAAAGAATGGTGTTTTAGCTCTCATACCTGCATTTAGCTCGAGGAGAGCCAGGTGCATATCTAATGACAGAGAGCAGAAAGAGAGCGAAGAAATTCCTCCCTGCCAACATTCCCAAACCTCATTATGTGCCCGGAATACCTGACACTCGGTCTGTCTGTCTGTCTGTGAGTGACAGGTTTAGGGAATTATGGGTAATTCAATCCATCCCGGAACCTCCATAGCCGTAATTGAGAGCAGACAAAGTGCTCGGATAATGCCTCCTGTCGATTAGCTGTGTTTTGAGTGAGCGGATTAAAAACTGTACTGTTACCCACACACAGGTGAAGAGGGGGCGGATGGTGTAAGGTTTAGGCCGTGTGAAGGATGGATAAGAAACGAGGGGTTTGACATAGTTTGGGGTTTTTATCAAGGGTGTTCAGGTGAGAATCCCTTTGAAGGAGTCAAAGCTGAACGCAACATGTCAATCAGTCATTTTAGGATACAAACATTCACACACTTAAAACAGTATCAGTGAAAAAAAAAAAACACGGACTCAGGTATCACAGGTTATTAGGAAGACCAGAAGGGTTGTGTCCAAAACATAACAGATCTGTTCCAAAAACCTATGGCCTATGAAGCAAGTTTTGGTGGCTCAACCCAAGTATTAGTTTAATTTGTGCAAACTCTTTTTTTCGGGATTAAGAAGATGGATTGGTTTTTGGTGGTGTTCATCGCCATGGTAACTTAAATTACACAGCTAACCTGCGGAGGAGGACGTTTCATTCCGGGTAAGAGATCGCAAACCAAAACTGGACCAATCAGCTGTGAGAAATCTGACATATATCTAATGAAATAAAGCCACTGACCGTGTATCTCATGATCCAAATGAAAGAAATTGCCCTGCTTTTGCTGCTAATGATTTATTTGTACAGGAAAGTACCATTTTTCAGTTTCAAAGCATTATGATGGCACTTTTGCATGGCAAGCCCCGCTTTTTCTTTTAAAAATAAAAAGAAAAAAAGGATAGACTGTTTCTTTTCTATCAAAGAGTTTAAACTGAAGTTCCTGCACTAGGGCACAGCCTTCTGCCTTCTAAATGAGTCAAGAAATCTAGGATTTAAAAGAATCAAAAGTGTTTTTGTCTTACTGGCTCATATACTGCTGATGTAGTGAGGAGAGACAGTGAGGCGAGACAGACGGAGAGAAAAGGCACGAGAAAAAGAGACAGAAGTCTAAAAAAAGAAATCACACTTCTGTGCTAGAGCCTTTTAACACCCAGGTGGCACTATGCTCCACGGACGTACAGTAAACACACTTAGACACGGACACACACATTCAGAGCAACTAGAATCCATCACACTGCCACTTTATTACTGCCACTGCCATCATTACTGCCCTACTTTGATTCTTCAGCATACACAGAGGAAATCCAGCTCCCCACCCTATAGGCTAGTATCATGTTTTCCTCTCCACATTTATGTCAGAGGTCCAGCTTGCTTAAAGGTGCCCTAGAATGTTTTTTTATTTATTTTTTATAATGTTTCCTGGGTTGCCCTTATAATGTTAGTATGTTTTTTAGATCAAAATAGTCATAATTTAGAAATAAAAGGCATTTTTCCTAGCCTGATTTTAGCCTCTGATTTGAACGCTCTGTTTGAAGGGGCGTGTCTGCTGTGGGATTCAGTGTAACCGCGGCCACTGCTGTGATTGGCTGACATGTTTGCATATGAAATAGCTATGTATTACATGTGAAACTCTCTCAAATAATTTTACTACAGCTATTATACGTTTTTACTATTACAGCTTTCGAGATTAACGAATCGTGAGATGTTTTTAAAGTATTTAGATCTATTCCCATCACATAAAATGTTGCCGTGATGAGCATTGACAAGCAGATGACAGTCTGTTGATCGCGAGAATGAAGATCTTATCATTGCAACGCAGTTTCTGCTCTCTCTAATGGTGTGTTCACACCAAATGCGAATTTAATTATTTGCGCGAGTGGATTACATACAAAGTCAATGCAAAGACGCGACTAGACGCATCATTCGCGCCGGGCGTTGCCGCGAATGTCTTCGGCGCAAGTTGAAAAATTTGAACTTGAGCGAATGTTCAAGCGTCTAACTAGACGCGATAGACGCGTATTTGACGCTCTATTCGCGTTCGGTGTGAACACACCATAACGCTTTCACCAATGCAAACACGATGATGTACATACAGTAAGAGCTTCGTTGTGCAGTGTAACGTGCGTCATTGATTTCATAACGAGTTGTCCAGATAAACTCGCGCTGTGTGGAAAGATTGTAATTTGATCGCTTTCTGTATATAATTTATTCACAATTTAAATAAGGTTTTTTTTCATCCTACTAAAAGAAACGATGTGAAGTTGACATTTTAGTCACTGGCTTGACTTACTGATGCATAAACAGTATTGAACGATTTTGAGAGAAAGATTACCTGTCTGAACTTGAACAATTACACATCAGAAAGTGTTGCTTGGTAGCTCGATCCGAGGCCAGCTCTGTATTGGCCCAAGTTGAGGAAACAGTCGTCGGTGAAATGTTTGGAAATTTCCAGAGAAAATAAAATTAACCCATTGTTTCTTCAGAGGCTCGGATGAAGGAACTAAAAGATACTTTTGTGTTCATGTGTACATCCAAACACTGAGCAACTGCCATGCTTCGGCTCCGCAGTTCCGCCTGGCATTGAACATGGGCTGTCATATGCAAATTTTTGGAGTCGTACATATTAATGATCCCGACTGTTGCGTCACAGTCGGTGTTATGTGGAGATTCGCCTATTTTTCAGGGGTGTTTTTCAAAAACGAGATTTAAGTAAGAAGGAGAAAACAATGGTGTTTGAGACTCACTGTATGTCATGTCCATGTACTGAACTCTTGTTATTAAACTATGCCAAAATAAATTCAATTTCACATTCTATGGCACCTTTAAGCAAAACATTATATTGAGAACACAGGTACAACTATACTGTACGGCATGTGTGCTTGTGCATGCAAATGAAATAAAAACAGATACACTCATGTTTTATATAGATAATCAATATAGATAAATTAACTGCTAATATTTATATTAATAAGGCAATACTAATAAGGAACACTCTCATAGTCTATAAATTGTGTGTATACTCCATCTGTGGCTTATGACTGAGACTTTCTCTTGGTCTCACCCCATAAAACGGTGGGGTGTGTTAGAGTTTCCATAAAGTCTGCGTGCATCATAGAGAGGTATTATCCGGCCAGTTAACACGAGGCAAATACCGCTGGGAAGAGAAAGAGCCCCCTCTAACCCACTCGAGTACTACGTCCTGGCTTACTTCAGTCCCCTTCAAGAGTCAAGAGGTAATGCCAATCCCAGCTCAGCTGTTGGCGTGGACGTGTGAGGAGGACCAGAGGCAGGCTGAGAATCTCCCATCTTTCATTCCCTTGACAGACACAACAGACACACTTTACTCCCATTAAACATTCCTCACCAGCAAATCTGGCCAGCCGTTTGAAAACAAACCTTATCTGCTTTCACAACCTTATTAATCTTTTCCTTAATTCATTAAGTCATCCAAGGGCGTTTTTGTGGTGTTTAATCCATAAAAGTTGATCAAAGTTATAGCAGATAGGAATTTAAGACAATTTAAGACAAAAACCTTTGACATGAGGTAAATTCTAATAATGATCCTTAAATGCTGCCCTAAGCCTTTGTGACCCTCCTCCTCCTCCAAGTCCACACTTAAGTGACGTAATGCCACATAGTCTGTCTGGTAGTGTCCCCATGGAGCCTGTATCAGAATTCACATCATTTCATTTAATAAATTAACCAATATATTATTATTTACAAATTACATTTTAAACTAAAATAAATTAATATGTAAATAAAATATATATTATTTTATTTACATATTAATTTATTTTAGATTCAAATTTATTTTAGTTTAAAATGTATAATAATATATGCAAATACAAAAATAAAATGGAAATCTATACAATAGCAAGCATGTGTGTTACTGTAATAAATACATCTGTGCTTTTGTAAAGATGCCTTTTTTATCATATGCACTTGTTAAAGTCAAATATTTGATTTACACTAAGTTGCTTGCCAGTAAGAGAATGTTTAATAAAGCGCAGCTGGGAATTAAATCTTCTGAAATTAAACATGTTTGCTATCACCTAACGTTAAAGATAACAGGAGAAGAGAAAGGGGAGAGTCATGCATGATCAACTACTACCTCACAGAATATCTGCAAATATGTATTCTCACGAGAGTAAGCAATTCATTTTATATCCTAAAGTCTGCATCACACATATTACAATGCCACCGTTTTAATTGCTAACAGTATCTTTAATAACATAATATAACATATGAATAATATAACTATAATGGAAAGATGATCACTAACGACTATCGCCCGTCATAAAACACAAACTGTCACTTATTCTGAGTGATGCACCTTAAAACCTCATCAAAATGTATGAACTGCTGAGGATGGGCATATTTCTTCCCAGTATCCAGGCTACCATTGAAATGCAACAAAATAATGAAATATTATTAATAAAGAGTAGCCTACCTGTGAGAGAGCTGGTGTCTGTCGTTATTTTCTGGAAGTCTGAGGCGCAGTTTGACACTTCAAAATCCGTTATTATCCAAAGTCATGCTTGAAATGTTTTGAAAGACGTGTCTGCTGTTCCCAAACTAAACTCTCTTCAACTTAATTGAGGGGAGACACATAAAACGAAAACAAATAAAAAGACTGAAGAACTGTTCTCTCAGTGTGACTGGACTCAATGTGAATTTGGCGGAGGTGTCCGCGTCTGTGGGGCTCGTGTCTGCTGGCTCGAGCAGAGAGCACCAATTAGCGCCGCGTGCAGCAGGGAAGGGAGGGCGGGAAACGCGATAGAGCAGCACGCTTCAACATTCACACATTTTCCACGAGCTATAATGCTCATGTGTAAGATATATTATATGTATATTATGAAAAACTGATTTAATTCGGTTTCAATCAAATGTGAGGGAATAATACTGCGTTCGAGACATCTCAAATTGTGCCCCCTACATGAAAAAAAATGACTAGAATTGCGCTCGAAGTAGGATTAGACCGATTAGCCTAATCCCGAGCTCAGCAAGAAGCACTTTGATGTCAAAAGATGGTGCGAGACTGACCAGCATTGGGTAACATTTGAGTTATCCTATAACATTTTTATTTTAGCCTATACCAAGGGGCTGTTGAATGGTCGATTCTGATTGGTTGACGAACATTGGTGCAATTATTTTTAGTGAGATAAAGTTCTGGGCAGGTTTTGACATACAGTTTCATATAACTTCGCCAAATTATTTCAGTAATTTCAAAGGTTCTTACAGCCTAAAACAGCAAAAGAACCAAACCCCACAAATGCACTAAGTAAATAAATATAACTAACAATGTGATAAAAACAAAATTATCTATGGACAGCATGCTCTCTTTCTCCCCATCTCTCTCCCATACGAATGCACACACATACCGGTAGGCCTATACAGACACACACACACACACACACACACGCACACACACACACACACACACACACACACACACACACACACACACACACACACACGGAAACATACACAATCACAGAAACTTTATAAAACTTAAAATAGTTTTGCATCTGAAAAGCTACACAACATTTATCATTTGTGAGGTAATAACGTTGCTGTTTTTGAAGCAGTTAAACGTACAGCTTTGCTATTAGTAGACACACTGCTGCCGAACACTGTTAAGAGACACGACTCATGTAGCCTAATTCACACACACTTAGGCTATATATAGCCTATATATAAGGTTTATATCTGTCAAACTTTGGAAACATTACAATCATGCTCACAAAGGCTGCATTTAGTAATCAAAAATACAGTAAAAACAGTAATATTGTGAAATATTATTACAATCATTGTTTTCTATTTTAATACATTTAAAAATTTCATTTATTCCTGTGATGACAAAGCTGAATTTTCAGCCTCTTTTTCAGCATTACTCTTCAGTGTCACATCCTTCAGAAATCTCTGCTCAAGAAACATTTATTATTATAATTACTATTATCAATGTTGAAACCAGTATTTGCTGCTTAAAGGAGAACTCCGGTCAATTTTAACATTGAGCTCATTTTTTGTACATTTGGAGTGCTGTCAGTACAGACAAAAACGACAAAAATCGGTGTTGCCTACACCGTGTTATCCTCTTTTTAAAATTCGCACCCTGTTGACTTCAATGGGGCAAGTTCTAAACCTGCTTTTAGCCACTTAACAACTTTAATATGTCATTACAAGTGCACAGCCATGTGAGTGGTGTTATTAAGAGTGACCACGGTCAATCTGACTGCAGTAGATGTGCAAGATATTAATAAAAATGATGTTAATTCAGCCAGCTCACATACCTGTATTTACTTCCTGTTTTCGTTCGAAGTCCACAGTAGTCAATTGTCGAGTTTGCGCGCGGGATCATTGGTAACTAATATAACTAATGATCACGCGCGAACTCGACAAAAAAATGAGCTCAATGTTAAAATTGACCGGAGTTCTCCTTTAACATTTTTGTGGAAACAATGATACCATTCAAACATTTGTGGTAAAATGAATAGAGAGAAATTCATACTTTTATTCATCAAGGATGCATTAAATTGATTAAAAAAGTGACAGTGAAGACATTTATAAATGTAACAGATTGTCTGGGTTTGCTATGTTTTTTCAGTTATGTGGCCTTTTAGTTACAATGGTTTCTCGGGGATTTGGTTATGTGTTACAGCTATTTGTAATTTAGTTTCATTCACTTGTGCATTTAAGCCCTGTGTTTCTTTCAGGTCATTGTCAGTTCTAGTCACGTTTAAGCCGGTTGTTCTGTTCCTGTTCATTGTTCCTATACTCTGTGTAAATAAAACTTAAAGGGGTCAAATAATGGTACATGCACTTTTACAAGTTGATTGTACTGAAATGTGTGTTGGCAGTGTCTGTACACAGCCATCATATAATGATAAAAATCCATCCAGTGGTTTTGTTTTAATCTCCTTATATGTTTTCCCCTGCCTCAAATCGAGCCGTTCGAGCCTGTGACGTCACAAGCTCGCACGCTCCTCCCACGATTGTTGATTGACAGAAGGGTTTCAACACAGACCCGCCCTCGCTCATGAGGGAGCTGTCAATCATAGTCTGCGCAGATAGGGGCAGCGATATTCGAATGGCGGACTACGGTCCGGTTCCGGACCCCGGCTTAGTTCCATCCGGACCGCAGGACATAATTGCTCCATTTTACCGCTTGGTCCTCTTCTACAGATTAAAGTGAGCGGTGCGTCAAAACAACTGAGCAGTACATGCCTCAAGATCTCAGGGTAGTTTACAGTAATGATCTTTCGGCGCTACATCCTTTAATATTTTTATCCAGAGCCAATTAAAACGCTTCATTCAAGCCCTTTCCGCTCTGTGCGCATTGCTTCTCTCTCTCGCTAAAGAGACATTAAGAGCTGCAGATGACGTGGTTTTTTAACAGTAGCAGAAACACAGTGAGCAGCAAAATAGATACTTTTGCTAAAACGCTGCAGAAAACGAGAATGCAGCAAATACAATTATTTCTGTCATACAGATGACTCAGACCATTTAACTAAACCAGGTTTGTGACAAGTTAACGCGTGGCGCCATTTAGAACTTTTGTTTTTTCCATACATTTAGCATTATTAATAAGCATATTTAGAGCATTTCATGTTGAACAATGTTATAATTTGGAAAATGATTTAGAGATGGCAAGGGAAGACAAAAGCTTTCAAATTACTATTAACTTTGTTTTGTGCTCATGATGAGAGTTTAGATTATTAGATTATGTACGTTGTTTGTTTTTAGTAGCCTAGTTTATTACTTTGAGCAAAATATAAAAAAGAGATCAACTCTGCACCCCCACCCTTTTTCTCAGTCCCATGGCCTTCTATGAGGTGTCTAAATGTAAACAAAAATAAATAAATAATAGCCTGTGAAATTATCTGATCTTACCTTTTTATATGCATATCCACTTTAGAGAAATATGTACTTTCTTTGGTAAATAAATAGTGGTATTTATCTTTGGTTCTCGGGGCCCAAGATTGACTCTTTTGAGTGTTTATTTTTTATTTTACAAAGTACTACGGCTGTCCCGATGGAAGTTTATAGGTTGGCTATAAACACTGATGTCTACGGTAAGTTCGGTAACGATCAAAATACACTAAAGCACCTTTTGAAAGTAGGCTAACTTGATGCGACTTGTAGAGATTCATTCAAAAACACTGTCCAACGCGCACGTCCAGTTTGTACAAATTCGTACGATTTGTCTAATCCCTGATGGGTAGGTTTAGGGGCGGGGTCAGGGGTAGGTCACTCGTCGTACGAATTCATACAAATTGGGCAACTCGTAAAATATGTACGATTTAGCAAAAATCATACGAATTCGTACGAGTCAGGTCGTATGAATTCGTACGATCAGCCACCTCGTAAAATACGTACGAATCGCTGTGAGATCGGGTTGGCCTGTCTCATTCAGAGGCACTCAGCATAAAAAGTCACTGCTCTCCATACCATCTTTTACCTTTTATAACTCTTTATAATTTATAATTAATGGGGAAAATATTCTGGATCCAATGCTGCCAGTGGGGGGAAAGGGTCACGATACTGCGCTGTAAAATGAAGGCTTGCTAGAGGTCTCAATATGAGTCATTTCTCTCTGGCTGCATACGTCATTAACGATAGCTAATGTCGTTCATTTGTGCTGTGACTTACACAGTTCTTTATGAAGGCTGACACATACAATAAATTCAGAAGCCTGTTACTGTAAAGAATGCGAGGCACAATTCAGTCATTGTATGAGCCTTTGGCCAGCAGGACTGCCAGAGTGGGAGAGAGAGAGCAATGAGCAATGACACGCCTCAAATTGATGTGATTTTTCACTTCCACATTTGAGAAGTATTACATACATGTGGTTGAAACTGAGCGCTGCTATACTTTTCCCCTTCCCATGAATGCATCATGACATACTCCACTCAAAGAACTTCAGAAAGTGATATTTACCCAGCTGCCCTGCTGGGTATATTAATAAAAACATAAAGCCCATTTGATGGGGATTATAACATGCAGTTGTATTATTTGGCAAAATATACTGTAAGCAACTGAAATATTGTGATTAATCTGGTGCAGAGACTCCTAAAAACTGAAGGCTATGTTGAATGCTCACTGACCTTTTTGGGATGTGCTTTGGATAAAATGCAGGACAGTCTGTGTAAAAACAACTGGGTGTTGTTGAGAAAAGTGGCTTGCTGTCCCAAAATCCTGCCAAAGACGTAATAAGTGGAATATTCCCCTGGAAAGAACCTTTTGTGTATTGTCCATAAGCGTACATCTCTGTGTGTGAGTTAGGCCAGAAACATACTCCAAGACTTGGAGTCCAAGTGAACAAACCAAGATGTGAATGCTTGGCCAGTGCATTGCAAGTGCTACAGTAACAAACCTTAGAACTCAAAGGGACAGTGTCATTTTAGTTTTCATTAATATTTTGAATACGATTTTTTATTTGTTATTTAATGTTAACTGTCACCCCCCTTTTTTTTGCATAGACATAAAAATCACTATCCAAACTTAAATGGTTTAAATTCAGGAATGCTTTGGAATATAGAACTATGGCTGGTCTTGTTTTAAAGAAGACATTTTCCAGATTATTGTAGAAGTCTAGAAATTATAAAAAATGAAACAGAAAAAAAGTTACATAAGTTTGAGTTTATGAAATTGTGTAATGTAAAAATATAATTATTAATATTTTATATAAAATATATATATTACAAAATATATTTTACT